CATTGTATATACGTTCAACATTATTTTCCTGAAACTTGTTCGTTTGTTTTGAAGTTAAGCACAAAGCTTCACAGTGGACTATCTGTACTCTGCCCACCACATGTATGGAAATCCGGTTTCTAGCATTGTTAGTCCGCAGACAAACTGCGTGTATGGGAGGGATTCCTTAATTCTACTGTTTAAAATATGTCATATTCCACTATCCACAAATTATCACATTCTTTACAATTATACTTATAAACAATTCCATGGCTATCGATATATACACTTTCTTTAATAACTTCTTGTATAAACAGGACATCGTTCTTTTTATTTCTTAAGCCTATCGCCAAATTTTAATATGTTGTGTAATATATCCCTATGTTGGTAAAACTCTTATTAAACTGTTTAGATTCAAAGAATTTTTTTTTTATAATTACATTTTCATGTCTATTTTTGTGGTTAATATTTTAAAATATTTTCATTTAATTTACATTTATTTCTGGTTTTTGAAAATTTTAAATTTTAGCATAGATTTATTTTATAACATATGTGGAAGGCTACATTTTTGATGCACACTAGGGTCCCAACTTTCTGTTCCACCGAGTAGGCTGTTTCTTATTTTTATGCAATTTTTGTTTGATAAGACTTACGATATGCGTTAATGTTTAAATCGTTTTAATTTCTATTTATGTTAATATTAAAATAATATCCGTTTCATGTTTTATTTTTCACATGTAACTTACATTTAAGTGGATAGTATTTATATCACTTAGAAATAATATCTGACACTCGTCTGTTAAAAAAAAACACAATAAACGTTATGAAGTAACGGTACCAGTACGTAGGTCGATATTATCTTGAAGTCATATAAATAGAAATGACATACGATACTCGTTTGTTAAAAAACCACAAAGCACGTCACTGACGTAGAGTTTATCAATATGTAGGTGGATATCATCTTTAAATCATTTCAATAACGTCCACCCAAGTATAACAGTTACGTGTGATAAGGAAAAAGACATAATAATTTATTTAACACATTAAAATGAACAGATATTATGAAGATTTTAAACAACGAAGTATACCACAAATCTTATCGAAACAATAATTACATAAAATAGGAAATAGCCCACTCGGTATAACAGAAAGTTTGAACCCTAACATGTATCTACAATATAGCCTTCCAATTATATAGTAAAAGCAATGTACGTTTAATAAAATCGTCGTTTTCCAAAAATAAAAATAATACAAAAGTTAAACAAATGCAAGAACACATTTTCAAAAAAGTAATTACGACAGATACACGAAAATGTAATTATTAAAGAAGTCTGTGAGTGTAAACAATCTAATAAATAAGTTATACACATTGAAAGTAGTGTTAAAAAAACAGAAAATAAAGGAGCTCTAAGAACGAAAAATTAAAACTAAAAATAACTTATAATCCCGGTGTTAATTTACAATTTACTACCTGACGAACTGTTCAATGAAGGAGGAAGACATCGAAGCCGACGTCACAGCAGGCTTCTGTTTCTACTGATGTACTTACGTCACAGTAGGCTTCTGTTTCTACTGATATACTAACGTCACAGTAGGGTTCTATTTCTACTGATGTACTAACGTCATAGCAGGCTTCTGTTTCTACTGATGTACTAACGTCACAGTAGGCTTCTGTTTCTACTGATGTACTAACGTCACAGTAGGCTTCTGTTTCTACTGATGTACTAACGTCACAGTAGGCTTCTGTTTCTACTGATGTACTAACGTCACAGTAGGCTTCTGTTTCTACTGATGTATTAACGTCACAGTAGGCTTCTTTTTCTACTGATGTACTAAAGTCACAGTAGGCTTCTTTTTCTACTGTTGTACTAACGTTACAGCAGGTTTCTGTTTCTTCTGATATACCAACGTTACTGAAGACTGAAGGCTTTTGTTTTTACCGATGTACTAACGTTACAGAAGTCTTCTGTTTTTACCGATGTACTAACGTTACAGAAGGCTTCTGTTTCTACCGATATACTAACGTTACAGAAGGCTTCTGTTTCTACCGATATACTAACGTTACAGAAGGCTTTGTTTCTACTGATATACTAACGTTACAGAAGGATTCTGTTTCTACTTATGTACTAACTTACAAATGGCTTCTGTTTCTACTGATGTACTAATGTTACTGTAGGATTCTGTTTCTACTTATGTTACAGATGGCTTCTGTTTCTACTGATGTTACAGCAGGTTTCGGTTTCCTGGTGTACTAACGTCACAGATGGATTCTGTTTCTACTGGTGTTACAGCAGGTTTCGGTTTCCTGGTGTACTAACGTCACAGATGGATTCTGTTTCTACTGGTGTACTAACGATATAGCAAGTTTATGTTTGAATGTTTTGTAACATTACATCAAGCTTGCATTTGTTTATGGCTGTTGATGTGGTTGTTTAGTAACTTCAGGACATGCGATTGTTTCTGGTGTTGTCACGTCTTAGTTACACTCACATATATATGTATGTATAATTATAAAATATCGCCACACCTATATGCCTACATTGAAATAGTTCCCGAATAACTAATTTGAAAAGTTATGCTCAAGACATTCCACGAAGATCTACTCATATATTCTACCAAGTAAACATAAAGGAAACCAAAACCTAATCAAAGAGAAAAAAGCCCACCAAGAGATTAGAAGATAGGATGTTTGCTCCATTTATGACAGCTAATGTTTTTATCTTATCCAGAAACATTTTATAGTTCAGTAAATTAGACTTCAGTGTGATTAAGAAAATTCTGTTTAACAAAAAACAGCATATACGTATTAATGTTATTTTCAAATACCATTAAATGAGATTCGTTTCTAACATGTCCTTAATCTGTGTCTGTTATTATGTAACCTAAGCTTGGGAAATCAAACATTACTAGTGGTTCCAATCACAGGTGTAAAATATCCGGGCAAGTTTTCTGTAACCCCGCCTTCTACCCCGAGGTAACTTGGGTCACCCGTCTCCCGATGACTAAGCTCACATGAGCATCAACTTCATCCATATAAGGTAGGGATAACAGGTGGCACGTAAAAGCGGTTCTTAACTGTGACGTCACAACTGTACGGTCTGTAGACCCAAAAGAATTACAGTTTCCTTAGGCTAATTAGGGCATGGCCCTCAGAAAAACACGTGCCCTGGACAGAGATATTGCAAACAGTCGCACATCACAGTTTTGTTGATTCATAAAACTTATGTGGTCGACGTTTAAAAAGGTGCGATACAGCTGCCATACATAGTTGAAACTATCTTAACTAAACACTTACAAAAACAGTTAGCTCATGCTGTATACAAATTAAATGACAAATACAAAACTGCAACACGTGGAATAATTTCACACTCCTAAAATGATCAATGATTACACACTGTAAATCAAACGACTGCTATCATTTTATATACATTATATCTGTCTGATAGAAAAATAACTACCCTTTTTGTGAACTGAGTAACAACAATGTTGCACTTTTAGTACCATTGGTGATCATTTTAACTTTTCAGGTCATGTATTTCTCTTAATGGTTTCAAGTACTCATTTTTATTTACTGGTATTAGTGTATTAGATTAGCAACCGTCTTGTATTAGTTCATTAAGAATGTTTTACTTCGATACCATCTGAAATGTAAGAAACTACGCTATCAAACGTTTTTTTAAATATTAGTTTTAGGTGATATCTTCAATACACCGACACAAGAGTGGTTCTATCCGTTAAATGGCGTAATACATATATATGTATATGAATAAATACGACATAAAGAGTGGTTCTATCCGTTAAATGGCGTAATACATATATATGTATATATAATGAATAAATACGACACAAGAGTGGTTCTATCCG